TTATATATATTCATATGTATATATATATGTATATAGAAAAAGGACAAGATGACAGAGAGCACTTCAGGCCTCTCCTGCCGTGGGCAGATGATGTTCCCACACACCATGCTGAAGATGCCTCTTGCTCGGTCCGTGACTAGCTCATGACACCTGTCCTATCGCGACGTACTGAACAGTGCTCCTCTCGGGGGAGGGACGCGCTCCCTGTCACTCTGTGCCCTTCTCTGGGAGCACTGGTGATGCCACAGAACATCGTCTCGGCTGAGTTTCCCACGCTGCTGGGAACTGTGGACATGAACTGGTGGGGACTCCAGGGAGAAAAGGAGGAGAAGAGGGAGGGCTGGTGGAGAAAAGAGCAACCTGGCCCTTGGAGAACCAGCATATCCCTTTGCTGTGCAGGCTGCAGTAGGAGGGGAAGAAAAGCCACTGGTGCAGTTGGGGATGAAGAAGAGATGTTGCGTCTATGATGTTGAAATGCCAGAGTGTTGCCAGAGGGTGTCAACTAAAGCTTCTTTGATTTCTTTCATTAGAGCAATCGCCGTGTCATACACGTCTACAGTTTTGCTCATGTAATTTCCTAGGTAAAATTGTGCTCATCGATCTAGTCCAGGAGCGCAAAGTATTGCCGGTTGAACTCCCCAGTGCACGCGTTCCTTGTTAAGTGTTCTGCTCTAAAATGTCTTTTTGTGCCTTACAACTGATGGACGTGTGCCCTTGGCTCAAGGAAGGGCTTGAATGTGTCTTCCGCAAAGCAATGTCGTCAGCTTCCACCTTGAAGAAACTGGTTTCAATTCTCTCCAGGTCATCTGTCCCAACTTTTATCTTCATGCACAGTAGGTTGATGTATGTCTCATAGCGGCTCTTCTGCAGGGAGAGAGGGAACAGAGAGCCTGGGAACAGGGACAAGCCACGGCATGCGTGGAAAGCAGAGGCAATGCCATCTGCTACTGCAGGAAAACCCATCCTGTATCGTCAGGATCCCACTAACCACAGCCCAATGCTTGGTCTATGCAGAGTCTGCAAAGACTGATCAACCCATTGTTGAGAGGCTTGAGGAGAAAGGGGAGGAGTGTGCAAGACTCTCCAGTTGCTCTTATGGGTCTTGGATGCCACTGACTGCATAAGGCAGATCCTGGGGGCAAAACCCGACCAACAGGTCTGCTCTTCCTTTGTTTAAGAGTTCCCCTCAATTGATTCAAATATCTCAGCTTGCCATCACTTGCATTCATTGTTAGTGCTTGGTGCCCCCATTTCTCTTTGCAGAGCACAGCATAAAGGGAAGCATCTCCTCCCTGCCTGGCACCTTTGTCCCAAGGCCAGATGGAATCTCTTTTATGGACTTGCATAATATTCATCCTTTCCTCTAACAACTCAGAGGTGGCCTGTAGTCGCTTATTTGCCAGCACAGAGAAACGAACATTTCTAGAGCACATCTCATACAACAGACAAGATGAATTATGCTCTGGAAGTGCCAGCTTCTCCTTGCAGACTGAAAAGGCAGCCTCGAGAAAATGCTCAGAGAGACACTTCTCTGCAGGCATCCAAAAGAAGATGTCTGAAAAACAGGAGGCAGTGGCAAGCAACTATTTGAAGGGTCAGACCAAAGACAAGGGAAGCAGCAGCCAGAAACTGCTTTGGGGAGTCAGGCTGGGCATTACACAAAAGGGTGGTGCAGCCCTTGTGTGCGGGAGGTGGGACATTTCCATCCCTGGAGATTTCTGAGACTCAGTCACAAAATGTCACGCTCAGCCTGAGCTATAACACCGGGAATAATCCCAGCTCCTGCTGGAAGCAGGACTAGAGGCCTCCAGCAGTCCCTTCCCACTGATGTGGCAGGAAACACACCTTCTGCTCAACTCTCACTGTGACAAAATATTCTATTTGTCCCACAATTAAACGATTCTGCAACTTTACAGAGAGTTCAAACTTAGCTACATGCACCCTCAAAGATTCTGTAATCAGCTGTAATGCTGGTTTGGGCTTTATTTAAAGAAATGGTTGAAGCAGAAAAACATTAATTCTCCTAGGGATTCCCTTAGCTTTTTTATAACGTGGCTGAAAAAGACTGATGCACGCTGAGAATTGAACAACTTTCTTACTTAGGACCTGAGGAAATGTCTAGTTTTGGCACAGTAAAGGAAAATTTTATTTCTCTCAACAGTTTACCCCTCCTCTGGTTAGAAATTACAGAGTGAAGAAAAAGTCTGTTATTTCTTTTTTTAGCTTCAGTGCAAAACAGTGAGGCTTGCTGCTGCCCTAAGACACCCATCCAGCTTGCGATCCCTTGTCCTCTCTCCTTTCATGCTCTCCCAGGCTCATGGCATCCACTGCAGAATTCTTAGTTCTCCTCAATCAGTCAAGATATCATTTATCACAGAAAAGATGAAAGTTCCTTTACCTCAAATATTAGGTAATGTTCTTTGAGTCTGTATTCCTCAGCCTCTTTTGACTTGAGGCTCTTCTCTATGGGGTGTAATTTATGCTCTGCTAATTCGTCTGCAATCTGCTTCATTTTATTTTCATGAGACCTCAGCTGTTCCTCCTGCCGAGAGAAGCGTGTCAGGTATTAGAACGTAGGAGTGCAGCACCCGAGTGCGCTGCCTGCCTGTTGATGTGGGATCTGTCTCTGCAAGGATGTAAGCTTAGCTACTGCGCTGGAGCCAAAGGTGTGCGGTGCATTTGCAAATTCATCTGATAAGGAGCAGCTGAAACACAGGTGTCTGCGTAAGATCAAAATGCAGGTATTGCAAGTGCCAAGAGTGGATTTCTCTGGCACCTGGGCTGCTTTAGCATCATCGCTGCAGAATGTTCTGCTTCCTTTAACAGCCAGGTGGAACCAACAGTGTCCCAAGAGCTGCTTATCCTCATCATTTTTGAGATAAAAGTACCCTCCCCATCTGGGCTCTGAGAAAGGCAACATCTGGCCACATCTGGTTAAGCAGACAGGAGCTCTATCTCTGCCCTGACATTCCAGGCTGTCCTCCCCTTTGCTGGGGGCTGGTGACAGTGTGTCCCTACCTCTGAGAGGTACTAAGGCATGCTGAGGTTTCCCTGCACAGGGCAAACAAAAGTTACTCTTTGGGTGGCAGCTGCTGTTGCTCTTGGTTTACTGAGCCTTAGGCAGCCATGGCCTGGTGCACCGTGCCCTTCTTGCTTCCAGATAACCTCCCACACCGAGTGGGACTCAGACTCCCCCTTTGCCTGTGGCTTTTTGGCTTGAGAAACAATCAAGTGCCACCTCTGACTGCCATGTTATAAAATAAACCAAGGCTGTAGCTGGCTGTTGGACTCAGCTGTTTCAACTCCAGCAACAAGAAAGCGCTGGGATGTGATGGGCAAAGAGCAAGAAACTAGCCAGAATCGATGGTCATGCCAGCAGGTGCCTGTGCATGGAATTGCTTTATAGCCATTGCAAAGGAAGCATTGCCCAGACACCGGGATTTGCCCCGGCCAGTCCAAGCCGCTCACTCCACTCCCTTGTTTCTGCCCTGAGCACCTGAATGCATCTACCAGGCAGGAGCTGGGGTTGCTGCAGATGGCTGCAGCCTGAGCTGCGTGCTGAAGGGCTGGCTGAGCACTGGGCACCTTTCCACTGCCCCTTCCCTCACACGTTACCTGGCACAGCTTGGTCATGGATGAAGGCAGGAGTGGGCGGCAGAACTTCTTCATGGAGCAGATTGCAGCTGGGAAGGCTGGGGCAGAGAAAATAGCAGCAACAAGGTTGATTCGCAGGATCCAGGAGAGCATTTCTTCCTTACTTCTGTTATGGAGGAAGGGAAAAGAGAAGGGGTGTCTGTAAATGCTCTTGACACAGGACGAGCCAACTCAGAACAGCCCTGGAGCCACCCGCTCTCAGAAGGTCATCGGTGGCCTTGCTTTGAAGCCATTCCTGTGCCACCTTGACTTGTGAACAGAGGAAAATACTAATTGTCTCCTCTAGTGCATCTTAATGATTTCAGAGCTGTTGTTTGTCTATTGAAGCTGTAACAGTCTTGTCTTCCTCATCAGCTCTGATGGCATCCCCTGAGGAGCTGGGAAGAGGTAGCATGGTGGCAAAGGGCAAGGATACCCCACTCTTTGGGAGTGGGAGCCACACAACAAAGGTCCTGTGGAGCAGGGTGGATCCCTCATTTGTGTCACTGCCCAGGGTCCCTCAGCAGATCTTTCCAGGCACTGTTCCACCCCAGGCTTCAAGTGGATTTTCACTGCACAAATTCAGCTTCAGCTCGACGTTAGTACCCCAGCCCAACTTACAGACCAGTGTCACCTATCTCAGTAGAAGAAAAACATCAGACAGCAGCTGACAGCACCTCCCCTATGAGCACAGACTGAGAGAGCTGAGGCTGTTCAGCTTGAAGAAGAGAAGGGAGGTCTCCAGGGAGACCTTATAGTTGCCTTCCACTACCTGAAGGGGGCTACAGGAATTATGGGGAGGGTCTTTTTATCACAGAGTGGAGTGATAGGACAAGGGTAATGGTTTCAAACTGGAAGAGGGTAGATTTAGATTAGATATTACAAAGAAGTTCTTCACTATGAGGGGGGTGAGACACTGGAACGGGCTACCCAGAGAAGCTGTGGATGTCCCCTCCCTGAAAATGTTCAAGGCCAGGCTGGACAAGGCTTTGAACAACCTCATCTAGTGGGAGGAGTCCCTGCCCATGGCATGGGGATTGGAACTACGTGATCTTTAAGGTGCCTTCCAACTCAAAACTGTTCTATGATTCTGCCACACTTGACACTTACTAGCAGACCAGCTTTCCTCTGCACTGGGATAAGGAAGAAAGAATATACACCCTGGCTAGCGAGATTTCTTTAATGAGCTTTAGACAGTTTCCCCATCAAAAGATGATGAGAGGAATCACCAGCTCCTTAGTTCAATGCACCATAAAGATTTTCTCCCTTCCACAGACTGACAATAAAATTAATAAGGGGAGCCTCTTACTTAGCCCTTTACGTCCCACCCTCTCCTGCTCAGCCCACCTCAGTGACACATGAGAAAGGGCACAGAGCTACCAAGAGTGACAGGCAGAAACTGTCACCCCATGACCAAGTTCTTTGCAGTACCCTGCAGACCTCACCCTCAGACCTCCGGCTCAGTACCTTCCTCTACCCAGGTTTGTCCCCTAATGCATGCATTGATCTGGTCAGGTTGGATGGAGTCTGGTGGTGGCTGGAGGTCAGGCTCCCATCCTGGGTCTGTGGGAAGAGCTGGTACTTACGGGGCCTGGAAGAGGAAGACTCTCCAGTCAGCTGTCTTCAGCTTGAGCACATTGGACTTCTTGCTGTAGTCAGAGGCTTTCGTGGCTAAGGCGTGGTGCACACGGATGGCATTTTTCAGATCCACTTCAGAGAGGTCTTTGTCAGGTTTATATTCATCCTGTGAAGAGGAACGTTAATTGGATAATGGCAGCACTAACATTTGCGGGCTACTTTAATGACCCTGCCTGTCTCTCTGTGCTATAATCACAGTGTGTCGAGACCAGGAAAAGCACGCTTTGTGCCGTAAATACTAGGAGCCGATAATGATAATAATTAACATCTGGCAACTTCTTCCACCATTAAGTTCACTGGGAAGATGTGAAGAAGGAGATGAAAGTATTAAACATAATTATCAATAGTTATCTCTAACTCGGCACACACCCGAGGCTTTGGGGGAAGGCGCAAGATGGGGCCAGGTTTCTGCAGAGCTTCACTCATGGTGCAGAGCTCAAGTTGGTTTGCAACTTGGGGTCATCTGCAGGTATCAGCGAGTGCCTGCCCTGGCGCTGCAGCTGGATCAGGGCTCTGGTTTTGTACTGTCTCGGACACCCCTGGGACAGCAGCATTACTGCAGCCAGTGAACCTCTGTGCTGGCACAGGGCTTGCTGGGCAGTTGTTAGACTGAGTATGGCCCACCTGAACCATGCTTGGTCTCTCTTTAGTACCTGTACCTCCTTGGCATGGTCTCTCATGTAACTCATTAGGCTGGCACTTGCAAACTGCAGCAGCATTCCCTCTGTTCCTGCTTTACTTTTTCCACAAAACAACAATTTTACACGAGTAGGGAATGTAGCAATAACTCTCTCTCTCTCTCTCTCTCTCTCTCTCTCTATATATATATATTTCAAAAACAGATAGAAAATACCAGACTTAGGATTCTGAAAGGATGATCTTGGCACGGCACTTTTTGCAAAAAAAAAAGGAGTTCAATCAGTCCTGTGTTTACCCTTTGCTTTCCAGTGACTGGGCTCCTGGCCACTTAAAGCAACACCCTCCCTCCCGCTCTGCACCCTTGCCAGCTCAACAGCTGGCCCAGCCGCGTGGTGGGATGGAAGGGTGGGCAGACGGATGGCTGTAAAGCCCAGGTGGGGACACTTTGTTTCAGAATGCCTCTAAATTAATTTCATTTACTTTCAGCTTTTAATGCTCATGGTGTAGACAGACTCCCTGTTCATGTGCTTCTCCTGCCAGCATAAAGGTTCTGCTTAAACACTCATGGCCATCCCCTTGCCTGGGCTTAGCTTCTGTCATGGCAGTGCTTCACAGTGTCTTTGGTTCACTCTTCTGATGTCAGCTCTCCCCTGTTGCCCAACCCTGTGAGCAGGTGGTAGAAGATCCACAACTAATATGAGCTCTCCAGCTCAAAGCCAGTTTTGTCAAGATAAGATATCTCTCTCTCGTGCCTGTCTTCACAGAGCACCTGGATGTATTTGTCCTGCTGCTCTCTCCTCTGGTCTCAGAACCAGCCCTGAGCAACGATGTGAATATGGACATGGAGCTGCAGAGATTTCTCATGCTCTGGATCGTGAGTGGGTTTTCCTCTTTTCTTCTTCTTCAGCTCACAACTACCAGTCTAAACAACCCATTTAATGAGGAAAGGTAACCACTGCTCCCTTTTCAGTCTGGGCATGAACTTGGTGTTCCAAGCAGCACTACCACGGCAAGGGCCACCCTGCATGGGACAGCATCCTTGGCTAAGGGCTGTGCTGGGAACTCCTTCATGGTTGGGGGCTACAAGTGTAGGCACTGTGGGAAGACCTGTGCCCTTTCCAGTACTTGCATATAAAAGCACCTCATTGCTTTATAGCTCCCCATCATTCCTTTCACTACCACTCAATGTGCAGTGATTAAGGGTTATTATCCCCATTCCACAGAGGCGAAGCAAGTTGCCAAAGGCCATGAAGTGAGTCAGTGCCCAGTACAGATTAGAGCGCAGGAGAGGTGCGCCCAGCTTCCAAGGCTGCATTTCTTACTGCTGTGCTGCATCCCTTTAGGGGATCAAGCAATTGCTTCAGCAGACTGTGCTACAACATGCTAATCCAGCAATTAACACTGGCGAGTCAATGACATGTGACATTTCTACATTAGCAGGTCTATGGCTGCTGCCTGAATTACTTCCAACAGTCTGACTTCTACCTGTCCCCTTACCCAGCTATTCCCCTGCTCATCTTATGTCCACCACTCTATGTACCCGGTCACTCCTCCTTTCTATCTTGCCAGGCCCTCCTCCTCCCCCTCCCTGGACTTTGGTTTGGTCTGAGCAAAAAACTGGAGCAGGCTGAACCTGTACTCCACAGTGTCAGGTGGGTCTGGAAGCAGGTATTTTCTCCTCTGTCTCCACATCAGAAAATCTTTTCCCAATGATTTGTGCTCAAGCTAGGTTCAACCTTATGTTTACCTGCTGGCATCTGCGGAGAGCTTAGGAGACTGGTACATCGTTTCCTTCCTGTATTGCGCAACTTTCTTGTTCTGCAAAACACCCCGTAGACAAGAAGTTGCACTAAGAGGGCAGGTGGATGTTTATCCACTCTCTGTTGTGGTGCTGGGAATGTTTGTAAGTGGTGGGGCAAGGACTTTGTCTTCCTGGTCTCATCCTTCAGTCCTGTCTCTGCAAGCCTTATAGACACTGCCTACAGCCAAGCCCAGCCCAAGGAATCCTCTGAAGAGGACCATAGACCATATACAGCCTGGCAGCAGCTCACAACTAAGAAACTCCTCTTTGCCCTAATCATTTACCCAAACGTTCCTGAGGTTAAATTTTGTTCCAAGCGCTACTTCCTTGCAGCACCCTTGGCAGTCCCAGTCTCTCCTGCTAATTACACAGCAGTCATGGCTGTTATTTATCAGACACTTTCATAACCTAGCCAAATCTTAGGTGTGTTGCTTCTTTAGTCCTTGTTTGTAAAGAAATCCCTCAGTCACTTAACCGCTTGCTCCTGAAGATCATATCAATCCACCCAACTCCCAGCCTGTATTTTCACTTGGGATTGCCCCAACCCAGGTGGAGGACCTTGCACTTGGCCTTGTTGAACTTCATGAAGTTTACCTGGGTCCCCCTCTCAAGCCTGTCCAGGTCCCTCTGGATGTCGCTTCTTCCCTCCAGTGGTCAACTTCACCACACAGCCTGGTGTCATTGGTGAATTCACTGAGGGGTCACTCACTCCACTGTCCATGTCCCAATCCACAGCACTAGTCCCAATATTGACCCCGGAGGAACACCACTCACCACTGGCCTCCACTTGGACACAAAGACTAGTCCTTGACAAAAAAATCATTTAGATCCAAATAGTCCCTGTGATTTTGATGAAATTGCATTTTTGTTTTCCACAGAAAAGCTGTCATAAAATTAAATGTTGATGGTAGCTCTGAACAAGTTAAATTCCTGTGCATCACCCATGTGGTCAAAATGAAGACTTCTTTGGGAGACACCACGGGGAGACTCATAATAAGTCAAGACTGAGACATAAGAAGAGTGCCACTGTCTTGAAGAATGCCACATTTAGAAAGCTGGAGAAGATCTGGGCTCTCCTGTATGTTGCAGTTTCTTTCAGCTGCAGGAGAGAGTGGTGAGGCTGTAAAAATACCACTTGGCTAAGAGCAACCCACACTGTAAATTATGATTGGCTGCTGCCAGATCTCTGTTGGCTTTGTGACATGTGCCATAGGATCTGGCAAAACACAAGAATCTTTGGGGTGTGCTACGAACTCTGAGTCATAATTCCGTGCTGCCCTGAGGATCTTTCTGCCTTTCTTATATAATCCAATGTTTGTTTACTCTTATCACTTTGGAGATAATACTGCAATACACAGGAACATCTACCCACAGGGAGTACTGTTCCAGCAAGGTAAGTTCAATGGGTTACTGCGCAGCATGTGCGGCTAAGGTAGTTCAGACCTAGTTCAGTGGGTTATGCTTTTTGTGATGAACAGACATTTGGCATCCCTGGCTGGCTCACACCGACATTCAAGCGAGCCCCTATCCAGGCTCCTTGGATTTTCCCTCAGGAAAGACGATCCATGAAAATCTATAGAAATTTCAAGTGTTTTGAAAGCCTCAATGTTCTAGCATGCAGGGAAGGTCTTCCATGGGGATTTTTACTTGTATTTACCTCAGATTTTTACTTGTGTTGACTAGAGGTATGCATGACACATGCATACATATGCATGACACATGCATACAACCATCTATCTGCCCACCCTTCCATCCCACCTCGCGGCTGGGCCAGCTGTTGAGCCAGCAAGGGTGCAGAGCGGGAGGGAGGGTATTGCTTTAAGTGGCCGGGAGCTCAGACACTGGAAAGTAATGAGTAAACGCTGGACTGATTGAACTCCTTTTTTTTGTCTAAGAACAAAGAGAGATGATGAGAGGCAGAAAACATCCTGTTTCACCTATTCCGTATCATCTGTTCATTCATCCTCCCCAACAGCTCCTACTTTCTGGGACGCTTCTGCAGAAATCTTGCCTCAATGTTCCCTCTTTCATGCTTCTTCGCATATGCCCCTCTTTTGAGGCTGTGAATAGTGCCCTTAGCACCAACACCATCACTAAAGATGACAACATCCTCCAGTCTTTATATTGGTCTCTGCATGAGCTATGCAGATGTCCATGCATTAGGACACGGATACATCTCTGCTTGAATCTATGGGCCTACTGCTTAGGACAGCATGACTGCTTTGGGGACAGCACGAAACAGCAAATGGGATAGTCCACCATGGTTACCTTTTGTAAATAAAGAATGGTCCCTTTAAGCACAGCATAAAATTTCTTCCAACCTCTTCTTCCTCTGGGAGCTAAAAAAGGAAGAATATTTAATTGTACATGTCTGCTTCTGTCAGCATTGCTCGACCTTCAAATTTCCATCAAAACTGACCCTTCTCCTGACCCACCACAGACATGCAGTGATGCCCAGACCTCATATACCTCCAAGCTATTTCTTACAAGTGACTTGTCTGCAGGGATGCATGTTTGAGAAACATAGGCTGGAAGATGCAGCCTCCCAGCATGAACACAAACAGGTCAAAACCAGAGATAAGCTGGTATAGGGGTGCCAGTGCAGGACATGTGTCTCTGCTCCTCCAAACCCAGGTTCACGTTCATTGGAAATGCTTGAGGAGCAGAGATATTTCCTGAGCTCCTCTGCTTCAGATGAGTTAAGCAGACATACCCTGGGTAAGGCAGCTTCTGTTCCACTGAGGAGGGAGCATTACCACCAGCCGTCTTGACGGACTTGGAGACAAGGAGCTTGCTGGAAGCTGGAGAGGGGTGGGAGATGAAGGGAGCCACCTATATCACCATAAGACAGATGATCTTCCAGGCATGGGCAATTAAGAAAGTGCTGGAAGCAAGTGAGGCCTCTGATGGTAATCTCTCCTCGGCACTTTTAATCAGCTGCAGTGACTTGGCCAATTATATCAATTAGCAAAAGGGTTTATCCAAGGTTTCATTAATCTCTGCTCATTAACAGTTCCCAAATATATTTTTCTTTACCTTTCCTACAATCCCACATGCTGACAGCAGAGCTATGAGGCACCCTGCAGCCTAGCTAGCACATGGCAGCTGACGGCAGCACATGGCAGAATATGGACAGGAATAAAACTTCGAAGACCAGACTGCCCCCAGGGTTTTGGCTGGAGTGGACAACTGCTGCAGAACCAGCCTCAACCCAGTGCTTAGAGCATGGGATTCAGGACTATGCCCATGAACAGGATGGAAGACTAGGTCTGTCTGTGTTCCTTGGTAATAATAGGGGAAGACTCAGGCCTCCTGAAAAAATCATTCGCGTCTAGAAATGCCTCTAAACACCCTCCTTTCCCTATGCTCTGGCACTCATGGATCTGGGAATCTCTCTTCCCTGGAATGCAGTGAGGAAATGCCTTCAGGAGGAGAGCCAGGGAGAAGGCTAGGGCACAGCTCTGGTACTGCCCGGGGCACATCTCCTCCTGTCCCGTTAACACGTACTTCTCTTCCCATCCATGTCTGCATGGGTTTTACGCGTGAGGACACCGTGCTTGTAGGTGATTGCGTTCAGCGCTTGGGGAATGTCCAGGAAGGGGTTGCTGCTGTCAACAATCCTTGTCACTTTCTTCGCACTGGCTCCGAATTTGTCATCTACCAGCTCCGAGAGAGATTTCCTCAACTCGTCCTCATCACTTGGAAACAAAGTCAGAGAAGAGATTGAGTGGAGGACACGCAGGCTGGGTCACAGTGTGTCCTATCTGCTTTGGTTTTAAGGAGATTTTTTTACCAGGCTAGTCAGAGAAAGGAAAAGAAAGAAGACGCAGGGATTGTAACACACAGTGTGCCAACAGTGGGGATCTGGGAGGAGAGTGCAGTGATCCCACTGTGAGGTTACGCAAAACAGGTAAGGGAACAGGTGCTTGTCGGAACACCAGGGAACTGCAGACACACTACTGCTGAGGACTACAAGCTTTTCGCAGGGAGATTCTCTGATTCTCTGCCCTAAAAATCAGAGCTTAAGGAGGTCTTTTGTATCACTGGGGTTTCTCAACCTCTGAGAGGCAGCCGCTGGGGCTTCCTAGGTACTGAAGGAGCTTGAGGAATGTCCTCTCCACCTCCGAGGAACAAAAGCTGTGCAGACACTAGGGAAATGGGTCACTTGATCAAAAAGCTCACAAATCCTGCAACCGGTTATACATCAGATCATCATCTGTGTCCTCAAGGAGGGTCAGCAGAGAGCAAGAATGATGATCATTTCCATAAAAATTGCTTATCCTCACAGACCACCTGGTCCCGGACAGCAATGGCTGAGCTGCTTAGGGAAGTGTCCACTGACTCCACCAAATCTGCCTCTTCCTATTTGGAGTGAAATCCATTCTGGCATATAGAAACTAGAACTTGTTTGGGAAGTGATATTTCCCAGTGTCCCTGGGACATTAAGGAGGGAGAGCAGACAAGGAATTTCTGCCCTGTGCAACACATGACAGTGTCTGAATGGTGACCTAGTGATGTCAGGAGTAAAATACCACACTCCCCACCCACAGCAAATAGATGGGCAAAGCATCAGACAACTCTTGGAACAGAAGGATGACTTCTCAGCTCTCAGCACCCACAGGAGTCCTGGGGCTTAAGGCAGACACTACACCAGCACAGAGAGCTGGTGAAGCTCTGTTCTCTGCGCTCCTGCTTGCTGCTGGGATGATGGTCATACACCCGCCCACCTGGCTGGACTTTGTGAGCAAGGGCATTCCATTCCCTGGGGATGGACAAGGACAGAAGGCAGAGGCAAGCAGGGAGAAGAGGGTCTTGCCCATGCAAGGTTATGATTCAGTGCCATGTCTCTGAAAGAAAAAGAGGTATCCCCAGTCAGGGAGTGTTTATCCCACAGCAGAGGAGCTGAGAGGTCTCTCGTGTTGCAAGAGGGATGCTGGATGCTGTCGGCTGGAGCTGCACCACTGCAGCAGGACCCCAGGGGCTGACATCCGTCGGATGCGCCCGAGCCAGGGAGCATGTGCTGGCAGGCGTTGTGTAACCACTGTCCGCATCCAGTGAGCAGATGCACTTCTGCTGAACTCCTCTTACATAAATCGTCCTGCCGACACCTTCTGTGGAGCTACAGAGCTCCCTCTCGTGACTATGTCCACCCACCAACCTGGCCTCTGCTGCAGAGCTGGTTTTATTCCTCTCCTCTCATACAGGTGCCACACAGGATTATTTCTGAAGTGAAATCAATGCTACATGCCCTGCTAAGAAACTACCACCCCTCCAGGGTCACCTGGTGGCTATGTCCCTCCTGAAGGAGACACCGTCCCACAGTAAGCACTGCTGCCATCGGGGCATGGCTGGCAACGGAGGCTCTGGTCCGCAAAGCCTGACCCAGGTAGTTGGGGAGGGAGGTAGGATCATATTGTATCCACACAGTTTTCTAGCCAGGACAATATGAGGAGAAGAGCAGGTGATAGCTCTAGCTAATGGCCCAGAAGGTCCTGCTCAGTCCCATGATCCTCTGGAGACAGGAGATGTCTGAAGGTAATGAGGGGAGGGGAGGGGAGGGGAGGGGAAGAGATGTTCACTGTGTTAGCTTGAGGCCTCAGGTCTGCCATGGGCTTCCCCATGGCAGTGATAGGGAAGTGTTGGGGCTAGGGAGCCTGCCACAGCCCTCGCTGAGGGTCCTGGCCTGTGGTCTGGGCAGGTGGTGGGTGGCAGAGCAGGGGAAGAAGGGCTGAGGAAGGTGCTGGGTGAACCTGTCACGGAGACCACGATGTTAGCTTTTCCCAGACTTGTTTCAGGGTGACAAAGGGTAATCTGGAGGAGTGCATCTCAGAGTTTGTGGATGACAAAAATGAAGGGCTACCACTTAGAGGGACAGGAGTCTCATTCAGTGCAGTAGGCACTAGGATGGAGTGGTACTGCAGAAGCGGGGATGGGGGATGGCTGGGCTGCGGATGGCTGGGTGGGGAGCAGCTCTGCAGAAAAGGCCCTGGGGCTCCTGGTGAAGAGCAGGATGAAGAGCCAGAGAGTGTGTCCAGGCAGAAACAGAGGCTAAAGGTATTCTAGGCTGTGTAACAGCGGCACAGTGAGGAGGCTAAGAGAAGTGATCATCCCTCTCTCCTCTGCACTCATTACATCGTATTTTGATACAGCAAACAGTATTGGGCCTCCAATACAGGAAAGGGCATCAACAAGGTGGAGAGAGTTCAGCAGAAGCCACCAAGATGCTTGGGAACTGGAGCACTTGCAATGTAAGAAGTGACTAAGGGAACTCGACTTGTTCAACCAAGGCAAGAGATGGCTTTGGGGGATCTTACGGCAGCCTTTCAGTATGCGTGAGGTGGTTATTGAGCATACAAAACCAGATTTTCACTATGGTGAATGGCAGGAGGACAAGAGACAGTGGACATAAGTCAAATCAACAAATTAATAAGAAAAAAACGTCACTCAGAATAAGTAAGCATTGGTTCATGGATCCAGAGGGGCTGTAGTTTCTCTGTCCTTAGAAGTTTTCAGGATCAAACTGAGCAAAGCCCTGAGCAGCCTGATCTGAATTCAGTGTTGACCACACTTTGAGGAGGAAGCTGGACTGGGAAACTTGCAAGGTCCCTTCCTGCCCAAGTGATTCTCTGATACTATTTCCAGAAAAAACTATGTGGAAGAGATGGAAAGGATCAGGGATCAACATAATCTCAGACCTTGAACTCCTTATGCAAAGACCTCTGAAGGATCTGCAGGGGGACCAGCATTTTATAGGTGTAATAGTAAGTAAAGAAAGTAAACAAGCTCCTTTCTTTCAGGTCATGCCTGTGGAACCTGTGTCCACAGACTGCCACCAGCCTCCCCATCTATTTTTGGGTCTAAGCCATAAATAAGCCCAGCTTGCCTAGAGGAGGGACTTCAGTGCTCAAAGGCTTGGCAGGAAATGTTCTGGGAGATTCTGGGGCTGAAAACATGAACCTGTCAGCTGATTTGAAAGGCACACTATCTCTCAAAAGCTTAACATATACTTACATGGCCCACTCCAGCTTCTCATTCTTGATGGAGTTATATAGCGTCTGAAAGAAGAACATGGTATTAGCTGTGTCTCTCATGGAAGACGTGTCTAGGTTGTGGACACCATCTCCTCCGCACCCTGTCTGTGTTCTTGGAGAGATAACTTCCTTGCAACTATCCTGGAGAAGTATTCACCAGTGAGCAGGACAACTGCCGTCCCGCTAGACCCCTTTTTGTCTATGTGCCACGCTCAGTATTGCACTGGACCCATCAGCAGCAGAGGGGTCTGGCAGCCAGCCTTGCTCAGGAACCAGTATCTGACATTTCAGACTAATTCCCGGTGCTGCACCTAATCCTGAGTGAATTCTAGCCTCGACAAAGATGACAGAAGACTCTGGAGTGTACCAAGAGACCTCCAGTGTTTCCATTAGGGGAAAGGGACTGTGGAGGCTTGAATGTTGCACTAAGAAGCAGAGGACACATGGCTGACCTTAGGGATCTGCTTTTCCAGTTCATCCTCTGCAAAATTCCAGTAGCTTCCCTGTGGCATTGAGAAAGAAGCAGAAAGCAAGAGGTGGCCCTAATCATATTGAGGTGTGGGGTAGAGTGAGGTCTGCTGGGAGGTGGGGCTACATCTAAAATACAATGAGACACTGGACATTTCAACTTCCTTCCACGCAGCAAAATCCAGGTGCAGATAACAGTGGTGGTGTTAAACCACATGGAAGGAGAAAATATTCACTTAAAGACACTGTTCTTTAACCAGTATCCCATGGTACTGAACTAGTTATGTTGGAGCACTACATCTAGTTACATGGAATGAAGGCAGAGAAAAACATCAGTGACCATATCTGGGGGTCGGTCATACCTTGTTCTTTGCATTGCCTGGTGCATCACAGAGCAGCCATAGGGGAGCGGGACCCTGGCAGGCTCTGAGGGCAAATATGCCACAAATCTCGATAAAATACCACCAGGAAACAGACCTCTGGTAGCTCACTGTAAGTTAGCAGAAGCTATCCATGTGCGTTACAATTCTTCTAATGAAAGAATTGTGCACTGGAAAATGCTGATTCAAGGCCTCAAGAGTGTCCTAGCAGGATGAGGTGGCACTGCAATAATAATGAGTATCCCACTGTCAACTGATAACACATTACCTTCAGCAAATCCTTTGCAAAGTCCTTCCCATCGTTCAGCCCATCCAGGTTTGCTATGAACTGTTGACACGACATCTTTTTGCCAATATTCTGTAAGGCAAAGAAGCAGCTCATTAAATTTCTGGAGAGTTTTGATTTTAATCAGAGTGTCTTTTAAAGAATAATTTTATCTGTAGTGGTGAAGCCTGGGTTTGCCCCAGGAACTCAAAGCTGAGAAGTCTTCTGCTCTGATTTTCTATTGGTCTCTTTGCTTTATTTACTCACGCCAGCACCCAAACATTTCAAATTACTTATTTTTTAATGGTGGAGACAAAACAACTGAAAATAACCTCTCCAGCTCTTGCTCCAAACTTTGTAAGTGGCTGCCCCCTCCCTGGAGGTGTTCAAGGCCAAGTTGGATGGAGCCTTGAGTAGCCTGATCTAGTTGAGAGGCATCCCTGCCCATGACAGGGAGGTTGGACTAGATGATCTCTAAGGTCCCTTCCAGCCGATGCCATTCCATGAATCTATGATTCTGTGATCTCACTCCTGGTTTCCAGGTTGGTCCTGGTTACAGGGTCTATGTCTCAAAATTCAAGAGTGCTCAGACTGCCTTGAAACTGCAACCCTTGGATGGGTCTCCAAGCCTGTCATGTGTGAAATTGTGTGACCATCTAAAGACAGACAGCGTTGGTCAGTGACTCATCATTCACAGAAACTGGTATTTTTGACAGCTACCAGTACTGTGATAACTTGAGCGCTGTGGCGCATGAAGACAAGACACGTACAAGAATCTTTCGATCTAGAACACACTCATCACCAACTAATGCCAAGACTATTTGGCTCCGATGCTGCCAGTATAAGAAAATAACCTCTTGAAAGAGACTGATACCAGAAACCCCACACACATGCACAGCAGATGACCTGGAGGCATCAGCAAAGAGTGAGGGCTTGGGATGAGCCCACCATGGCCCCCCCCATTCCTGCCATCTGTGTATGCTGACGTACTATTTGGCTACACAGAGAGCCCGCACTGCCTTTGAGCAGCTCTGGCTGATACTCTTAATTATGCCTCCTGTTGGTGCCAGCTCCAGATGAGCTGACACCCTTGAGAGATCAAGAAAAAGAGAAATAAAGCACTGTTACAAATCTGCAGTGCCTGGGGAAAGGGTGAAACACAACATGAGGCTCAGCCATCTTTGCCTTCTTGTGAGGAAGCCCCATGGCTGATGCCCATAGCTGGACCCCACAGCCAGAGGCTACTGCCAGCTCGTGCTCAGTGGGTACATCAGCTGCAGAAGAGCTGCGGGGAAACCTGCAGACATGCTAGGTTATTTCAGCAGAGGTAAGAAAGATTTGTGTGCTTGCTGGCAGATGAATTACATCAAAAAAGGCAAAAAAAAAAAAAAAAAAAAAAAGAGGAAAAAAGGCCAGCAACACAATGGATAGAGAAAAGGAGGGTGAGCGAACACATTAAAAAACGCAGTAACGGACCTCCAAAAGGGAGGGAGTTTGAAGGTGAAGTAGCTATGTTGCATGAGACCTTGAGGCACTAAATTACACAGAGAGGAGGGGACTACTTCCACCCCTGCTTTGAGGCAGGAAAGCAGAAGGCACAGCACAGGTCCTTCTGCCTGCAGAGATCTTGTTGCAGTGATCCAGCAACGAATGCAGAGGCCAACACCTCGTAGTAAGTAAATGGATACAGTGAGATAAAGTGGCACAAGCTATCAGCCTCGCAGGTCCTTCTTTGGGTTTCTCACATATTGCAGGACATACATTAATTCCAAGGTACAGCTTCTTTTTTTCTTCTGTTATCCATCTCTTGGGTAGAAAAGATCTCTGAGCTCAAATTGAGACAGGAGCCACACTGTGGAAAAGCAGCGAACTGCTGAGCAATTGAGAAGGGTGAAAACATACCCTTCCTCTGACAACCAGAAGAGGTGATGAGAAAGCTCCAGCAAGGATGCTGATCCTGTGGATCAGCTTGTTGGACAAGGCTGTTGAAGCACTGCAGGGGCAGGATTCAAGCGGGCTGTCAGCAGGATTGAGCACAGGATGCTGGGGTGGCTCAGCTGCAAAACCACCTCAAGTCAACAGTATCTTAACACTTCAGCTTGCTGCTTTGAGAAATGGGCTGGAGCCAGCCACTCATGTATAAAACCCCGCGAGCTTCTCCAAATCAACAGCAGCTGGGTAAACAAAAAGCCACTCTAGGACATGGACAGCCTCACTCGATCAACACTTGCAAAAAAATCCAGTTCTGTGATCACAAGAGCCTCATTATCAACAGCATCAGCACCTTCAAGCACTGCAGCAGTATTTAGAGAATATGGGGAATCCCAGGAACAACTCTGGAAAGGACCACGATGAGGGTGCAACGCGGTGTCTTCTTACACAGGAGGGAATCTTGCTGATTCATTACGTGTGGACACAGTCTTCAGGGGAATGTATCTGCATTCTGTGGTGCATCAGTCACTTACCAACAACAGACCAAGTCAGTGAGGCTGCTTCACAGCCACATGTAGCTACTATTCCTGATATGTCCCCCTGGCAGGAAAGAACTTCATCCCATCTTTTCTTGCTCCAGGCCATGCAGCAAAGCATGAGGAAACACTGTCAATCAGCTAGCGCCATGGTGTGCTCGGATGGAGAACGAGCGAGTGAACAGGGAATTAAATAGATGAGAAGGGGTGGATGATTCGATGAATGGGTAGCGACAGTGTAGGAATGGATGGACAGAGGTGGACGGTGCAGACAGTGTATGAGAATGGACATGCAGAGACAAGATGCACGATAGAGGTTAAAGTGCATAAGAATAAATTAGAAAGAATGAGATTGATGTGATGCTGGGTAGACATGGCTGATCCTACTATCCCAGTGTTTCAATCCAACATAACTCCCCTGTTTACAGTTGGGTTCTTGCCTCCTATGGGCTTCAGCCATCTGCTACTGAGCTAACTCACTCAGGATGATCACAGACCAACTCCTGAGGTGTCCAGGATGGCTTTTTCCACCTCCAGAAGACTCCAGGCTGTAGCCTGGCAGTCCTTAGCTGTTGTCTGGGGACTAGAGCCTATGGCTACCTGGGGTGCTTTCCCCAGCACTCCCTCCGTGAGGTTTTAAACTACTTTAAGTTCTGGGCTGGAGGCCCCAAGCATCAAACATCTCAGCTGCAAAGTGGTGAGTGGAGTACATCTCCTGCAAACTCCTCAGCATGAGCACTACACCCCTATCAGATCCCTCCCAAATTCTCATCTTCAGGGGGAAAAAACCCAAACAACTACATTTGTGCGTCAGCATGAAGCGAGGGTCATTGGTCTGACTGGACCAAGGGATCTGGTAGTGGATGTGTTCTAGGCTGCACAAGCAAAATCATCCCACTGCAGGGAACAAACCTGCAAACTTTGGGTACTGACGACCCCTGGGCCACACAAAGCTGCTGTGGGCAGACTGGTGTCACTCTGCAGGTGACACCAGCAGCTGCTCATATCTCAGAGCCCTTCAGCTCTGAGTTAGTGCTACTAACACAGAAGTATTGCTAACACTAACCCATAAACTCGGCTTAAGAAGAATATCACAGGATTTGTAAGATGAACAGCGATGGACACGTGGAGTTAGGAGCTGCATGGGATCCCATTCCAAGCTTTGGTCAGCGGCCGTGAGAGCTGCTGGCCTGCTTTCTGAACAAACACTACAGCTTGTCATGTTACAACTGACTCCAGAAGCTGAGCTCTGCTAAAGTACCAAAATGCAACCATGAATGCTAGTGATGCAGAGGTGTTGATTCGTCGCTGTCCTTCCACAGGGAACAGTTCTGAGCAAGGAGGGATAACATTAGTGCCTGGAAAGAAGACATCCCAGAGCTTTGTCTCCAAGGGGCAGAGACTGAGCAGAACAGTACTTACTTTGCCATAAGATCTCCTGGAGCTCAGACAGCACCAGCAGAGCAAGGTAGAGGGTTGAAGTACTTGAATTATGCTACAAGGCTTGTAACTGGTGTTGATGAGTGCTGGCTTTTAAACATCAGCTCCAGGTGATTCCATGAAAACGGAGTGTCTCATTTTAAAGATACTAAATTTTCCAGACAGTTTGCAAACAGAGTCTGATTATACCTATGTTAGAAAATCAAAAATCAAAACTCCAGTGTGGCCAGGTGCAAATCTCATGTTTTAAAGCCAGTCTCATTACTTTTAAGCCTGGACTCAGTATTTGTGATGGTTACTGCTGGAATATTGAACTAACTTGCTGTAGGGAACTGTCCCTCTACAGAGACAACCACCCTTTCATAACCAAAGGAATTTCCCACTCCATGGCAACGCACAGTAGAACACTGGAACACACACACACAATATTAAAAAAGGAAATAAAATTAAAAGTGGTATGCATTATCATGACAGCATTTTTGAACAAAAAGGGGTGAGAGATCAAGTCACACAATGCCAGGTACACTGCAGGTTATGGAGATTTCTTTACACCAGGAGAACTTCATGTGATGTGTATCAGCTGCTAATGGGGTGCTAAGTAGTGAAGGACACTGCACATCCACTTAGGAATCCAGACAAACAAATACCCTTTTTTTTAAAAAAAAAAAAAAAACACACAGAAAAAATCAAGGCAGATGCCAGTGCTTTAAAGCAAAACACTACAATGACTGGACACTTACCACCTGGTAAAGGGTTAAAAAGCAGAAAGAGAGGTTCCAGGAGCAGAAGGAAAAGAGAAAAAAAAAAAAAAAAGGAGGAGAAGGAGAAGAAATTAATGTTACACATGTAGAAAATAAAGAGAAGACTTTTCAAAGAAAAGCTGAGGCATTTCTACACCTAGTCAAAAGAAACCTGTTTTTTCCTTTGCCTAGATAGCATGAGATCATTTCTTCTTATCAGGCCTCTTAGCCAACTCATCAATGAAAAACAGAAATTGTAAGGTTTTGGGAGGTTTAGGGGTGTTTTTGTCTTTTCAGTAATTTCTGTCTTCCTGGAGATGTATTTTGGAATTTTTTTTAATTAAAAATACTAGACAAAACAAGATACTTTGGAGTGAGGGTTGCTTTTGCCACAACACTTGCTTTTGATGTTGCAGGAAACACTTTGAACAAAATATTTCCTCAGCTTCAACTGCTCTGGCTGAAGGATGAATGCTCTGTGAGACCCTCCTAGAAGCTGGCCCTGCCACCACCCTGCTGTGTGCAGAGACGCTTGCCTGGACACGTTCCTGGCAGCTGTGTAGGTGGGAACAGACCCAGTGGCCAGTGCAACGCTGCCCGAAGGACGAGGCCACAGCAGGTGTAGCCAGCTTGGTGCAGGACACAGCGCACCTCTAGAAAGGATGCTCTTGCAGACACCAGTAATTCCCCCTGCTGGCTTCTCTCAAAGGTATGCAAAATCAGAGCTAGGTTATGGCCTACTGACCCCTCCTCAACAGGCTGATGAAGAGAAAATCAGGGCAAGCCTCAGCAGATGCACAACAAGTCACTGCCAGCTGGAGGCAGTAGAGGACTCTGATGATACAGCGTGGAAATCACCAGTTTGTGGGGCACAAAAAGGGTGTGTAGGTTTCACAAGCTGTGCCCCCCATAACCTCCATCTTCACACAAGTTCTAGGGAGTCTGCGGCTCTAGGTCTGAGCTCTCAGAGAGGCCACAAAAGAAGATATCTCAGTGACATGAGACTTGAGGAGCTCCTCTACCCCTGGAAAGGGAGCACAACCCCCTGTGGCTCACAGCCATGCGCTAAACCTGCCCCATAAGGCTGGAGAGCAGGGATGAGATCTGGGTCAACGGTGCCTACAGCCTTCCACAGCACTGAGCAAGGTGAGAATCCATGCATATTTCCAGATGTACACTATGGCAAGGGTCTCCAAGGGTACACAATGTCCCAGTGCTGTCCCCTATGCCCAGTCCCATCTCCCCTCTGCAGTTATTTTTCCTCTCTCTGCTTTGCTCTCTATGCTCTGGTTGACCTTTTAGGAACATATCTATCCTATGGCACCTGAAAGAGCCTCTAACAGGCTCTTACAGCCTCTGTTTTCCAGCCACACCTTTGGGCACTAAGCTCTGCTCACCCTGCTCTTCTCTGCTACAAAACACTCTAGTGGCCGTTATACCTTAGGGAAAAGGACTTACTGCATGGGACTTACTGCATGTTTTGGCATGGAAAGATCAAATCTAGACCTGTATGAAACCCCTGACTCCACAGAAGTTTCTGGGATGAGCGGAGCCTCAGGTGTCTGCACAGCAAGAAACAGCAGCACAATTGGTGCTAGTCTTTGCCAGTACCACAGAGAGTGGTGGTGAAGACCTCTCCATGAGAGCTCCTGGGACAGGGCTGATGCATGCAACAGGTCCTGGGAAGAAAGCTGCATTGCCTGTGTCTGTATCAGGTAACCAATGTCAGCAGGAGACAGGCTTTTGGTTTCAGTGTGGACTGTCCCCAGCTTTGGGCCTGGCACCCAGGATTCACCCTGGAGCTGATCAGAGTACTCTCTGCCAACCTGTCTCAATGTTCCAGCAGCACATCCTGCATAAGGAGATAGATCTGTATATTGGGATGGGAAAAAGGAAGGTTGCATCTCCAAGTACTACTTACATGGCCGTGAAGATCTGTGTTTAGCAGCATCAGGGCACAGGTGAGAGTATGAATCCCATCTGAAACACACAACAGTCGCATGGCTGTGATTATTCCCCTTCCTATGCAGTTTTCGTGTTTACTGTCTCAGCAGCCTATTGCAAAACCAAGGCTAGTTGCTATGTCTGAGGACCTTAAAAAGTATCTGTTTTCTTCAACTACATAAGATAGTTTAAGAAAATAATCCTCTTTTCCCTCAAACTTTACCTTTTCCTGAAATGATGACCAGGGCATTGGCTTGAAAGCAATTTTGTCAACGGTTTTCTAAAGATCAGACCTTCCACTGGGTATTCTCCATATCCATTTTGTGCTGACGCCACTGTAGAATGGGAAAGACACCCTGACAAACAGAGCTTAATTGCCCCAGGTTGATCACAATCACCTCAGAGATGTGTCCTGAGGTCTTCAGCTGTCATTCCAGGGCACCCCATAAGCTCTTGAGCTGTTGAACAACCATTATTACTAGGAACGAGTGCAGCATTTTTGGCTCTCTGACTTAATAAAAATCACATGAAGCTTTCCTTCCATTGGAGACAGGACAGCACCCTCTTCTGATCCAGGTAGTCTGGTGGCTTGCTATTATTTCAAAACCATGCTGTGTCCTGAAGCTGGTCAAGGTCAAGAGGCTTGTCTCCATGCATCACCTCACAACAGTGAGATGCAAATGCCCTCTGGCACATCAACTTGTCCTTTCAAGGACCTCACAAAAGATGAGAACCAGGGGGAAGGCAAGGACAGAGTTATTAGAGCCTTGGTCTTCAGCCCTGCTCTTGGCCTCACTTGTGCTCACACAGATGACCTGCTCCACAGAACCAGACAGACATGACATGATTCTCCTGGCTTGTTTCCCTCATGCATGCTGCTCTATGAATTGGTGCCCGAGGGTCAGGCTGTGACTTGTCACCAGGCTTGGCTGGGGAAGTGGCACTGTGGGGGTAGGTGTGCAGCCACGGCCTGTCCCCATCCCTGTCAGCCACAGCTCCGTTGTACGGAATAGTTAAGTCCTGAGCACCTCATGCTCAAGGCCAGGCTCGAAGCGCTGCCAGATAAAGGCAACCAAACACATGAGCCCAGGATGAAGGCAACTGATCACATGAGCTTCTCCCTTTCCTGGAAGAACCATGGTCTGAAGAAGGAAGGGGTTCTCACGGGAACATCATATATTTCTCTATGAGGGCTAAGTGTCCTGGGAACATCTCCCTTCAAGACAGAATCACTTCCTAAGAAAGATATTTCCTTCATTTTCCAAGGAAGCATCTTTGCACTTAGGACCCTGTACCCTCCTAGCGTGTATTTTTGATCTCTGTAGGAGTTTCCAGGCTGACATCTTCACCTGACTTTACTATATCGCTTTGGTCAGGTAAATCACGTCCCACATGGCCCCAAGGGGGAGCTGGTGTCCCAAAACCTGACATTCTCACGCTCTTACTCGGTTCAGTAGCTTTCAGTTTTTCTCTCTGCTTACAGAGCGTCACAACACAACCGTATAGTTCTTTCATGCCTGGGCTTCATCAGTACAGTAAAACACTAATAATATGTCCAAGGCACCCCTCGCTGGGAGAAAAATCAGCCACCCCACTTAGCAGTCAGCAAGTCAGAGCTTCTGCCACCCTCATTTGCAGCGTCCCATTGTGCAAAGCTGAAGTGACTCTCGGTGTAGAGTCATATCTCTTTCAGTGTAAGAGTTACAGAATCAGTATGTAGCAACACCCTGAAATGTCTTAGAAGGCTGTAAGATCTTCTCAGCTGCCCCCAGACAGAACTGCTTTGACTCTATCATGTCAAAAGACCATCACAGCAAGAGGTGTTTCATTAGAAATCTAGATAATACTCACTTGGCTCAAATATCATCTTGGTGGAACATCCTTTGCAACTTTAGGCTGGATGCAACAAGAAGGAACCGCTTCCCAAAGAAAAAGCTTTCTCAAAATACCATGCACCTAGTGCCTGCTTTTACAGTACCTGCAAAAGATGTGACCTGAAAGAGTCACTTTCCTTTCCTCTATTGCATCACACAGACACAGCGAAATGAAAGCAAAGAAGTAATTGTTTTGAGAATAGCACGTGTCCTGTTAGCTTGGCAGAGGGACGGAAGGATTCGTGTGACACTAGGCACTGTTACTCTTTGGGAAGACTGCAAGATGGAGACAAGCAGGAGCTCTAGAGCACCACTGGCATATTGCACACAGAAGCAGGTGCAGGAGGAATAACTGGCACAGCCATGGTGTGTGCTGAGAGCAGGTCAGAAGCCCGATTTCCACCCAACTGGGCATTTCCAGATGCCTGTATGCAGGTGTGTAGAGGCATTTATGTAAGTATGAATGTGGGCATGCTTACGTCTGGGTGTGTGCATGTGCACATGTGTACCAGGAATGACCTTTTCTATTTTAAAATGTCAGAAGAAACTATACCTGCTTCAAATAAAAATAATAGGGAGGGGCTGAAAGCAGCTAACAAAGCCTGGAACTCCAGTGAGCCCAGAATTTTACCCAGCCGTGCTTTTCTTCTGCTGCAGTTGTAGATGCAAGGAAGCATGTGGCAAGCCAACGACATTCCTCAATCTGCACGGAAGTGTCTTCTTCTGTTCAACAGTCAAGGTCTTGGGCTGATCTAGCACCAGGCACTCATCTGCCCACTGCCAGCAACCACTTCTCAAGCCATGACTGCGGTAACTTGCAAACCCTGAGAACCGCTCACCACCTCCCCTGGTGCTGCTGATCCCAGCTACAGCTGAGGAGCTTGTCTTCAGCACAGCTAAGAGGACAAAGCTCCCACAGAGTCAATGCTCAGACCCTGATCTGTCTCTCTTGTGTGGGTCTGGACAGAACCCAGTTTACCCAGTCCCTCCCAGAAAGGAGAAGCTGCAGCCTTGCCTGCCCAGTGGGTGCTATTCACATCCAGCTGTGGACAGTTGGTTTTACATCCTGGCTCCGTGACACACGTGCACTGTGAACGTGCAACGGACAAAAAAGAGCGGTACCTTCAGATGTGCTCTCTTCTGGGTTGCACTGGCAGTATCGCCGGGAGAAATGAATCAGCACTCGCTCCCGCTCTTGCGTCTCGCCCATCAGTGGGAATGCTTTCAAGAACGTCCTGCAAAGAGAAAGAGAGTCTTAAAGATGCGATGGATCGATCTGCTGGGCAGCACCCATGCTAAGGAGGGGGATGGAAGGGGGGTTCCTCAGAGAAGCTATGAAGGCTTTTTTCCTCCCCCCAGCCTGTGCATCCCTGGGCCCCTGCAGTGCAATGCAAAGGGTGTCTATGGAGCCAGCT